ATATAATTAATATTTGAACTGTGTGTTGTATATCATACACTATTTATTTTTACGTTATACACTACACAGTTGGTCGATCCTACACCACAAGTTTCTGTCTTACCGTAAGATTTATTAGCAGAGCAAATACAAAGTACTAAAATTTGTTAAATGTCTTATTCCCCAAATCGTTAATTATTATAATGAAGGAGTAAAGGGGTCACAGATATTTTTTCTCCGCCTTTTTATATAAAAAATTACAGATCAGAATTTATTTATAGACTTGGACGGGAAAGGACCAGAAATTGCCAGAACTTTTTATTGCAAAGCAGGCCTATAGGAACGACTCAGGTACGTAAGTACCATTTTTTCAAAATAAGAGTCATGGGCAACCCCTACGTTTTTATCATTTATTACTACAATAATACAATGAAATATGACGTTAGTGTTAATATCGCCATCTCCGATAATAATTCCCAAACGTGGGTATTAACCTCCGTGAATAGTGGACCAATTCAAATAATCAATCGATCTTCTAACTAACCCAATTAATTAATATTCTCACCTTCGATCTGCGTTCTTAAATGAACGGAAGTAGCTAGCTAGGTATACGTAACTGATCAACTGGATATAGATTCATGTAACTAACCAATCGCAAAATAAGAATATATTAATTTTAGATAAATTGTACGATACCCTCAAATTACTAATCTGCGAATTAGCAGAGCTAGCATTTCAATAGGTATATAAATACTTAGAATTATATTATATGCTCAATTATTGCTCATATCCAAAAGAAAAAGGTACATTTATTTGCTCGTCTTGTCATAAAAACATTAATGAAATTTTAACTAATGAGATCTCTATATTATGATAGAAAATGGTTGAACTCCATCTCGCATATTTTATTATTAGAAGCATAGATTCGAGACTATGTCATGTATTTTTTTTATATCTGTAATATTAGGTGATAGTAAAAAAAATCGGAACGCCGATCACACACATCACATTATGCCACAGAATAAATTAGGTCATGGAACTTTTTATGCATGATGTAATCGTGTGACCCGCTGGTTGCATTTTTTTTGTGAAATGTTTTTCGTTATGCACCGCTCGAGTTCCACATTCCCTAAATCTGCCTAAATGAGACCAGAAATGAGCGGAGGGAACGTTTTACAAGGACAGTATATTTATGTTGTTGTTGTTCTTCGCTTGCAATATAACAAAGCTTCTGTTTCTTCGAACTCGACTAATCAATATGTCACAAACCAAAATCCACAATTTTTTGATAAATGCCGAGGAACGCCATATAAATGCCACCTCCGTTGTTCACCAAGGCTTGGAAGAAAATCCCTGGATTCCGCAAAATGAGTTGGGATGATTGTAGACCGAGTCGTTTGGGGTTGTTTTGTATCAAATTTCCCTCGTTTTTTGTTATGTGTAACGCACTCATTTATTCTCGGATCATCAATTAAAGTTTCATTTTCTATTATATTATGTAACACCACAGCAGATATTCATTATAACGGACGAAAATTCCCAGCCTGATCAATCCGCTATAACGAGGGTAAGATGTAACTTTATTTTTATTTTTTATAATCATAATTTGTGCCTTAATGATTTATATTCAAGGAAAACATGTTCATGATTTTAATAATACTCGACAACAACTGGAAAATGATATCACAACACGAGAAACTCATCACCATAGTTACAAATAATAAGATATTAAATATTATAATAGTATATAAATTATTAATCTAAATATTATTCAAGTATGTTAATCTAACGTTCACCTAAATCACATAATTCGGTCCATTCTTTCGGAGGATGCATTTTTAAGATTTCATCTGGAAGTGTGATCAACTGCATCAAAAGACCAGATTCCAAATGCCACTATAAAAGATAAAAGGTTTTAAAATCAGAATCGTATTCATTTTTTCATGTATCAATAAAAAATCTTTACATACCTCGTAAAAAAAATGAAATGAAAGAAAAGGAAAAAAAAATGTTAGTGAATTTGTCAAAAAAAAAGCAATATACTGAACAAAAACGGAATGAAACGATAGCATATCATGTGACAGTGTATTCCCCAGACTCCAGGATTATCGGAAACAAATCTGATGGCAATCCATCTAGAAAAAAATTATATTCGCCTCTGTTTAGTCTGTTTTTCATTTTACTAATGGGACTATTTGTCACCCATTATATGTCATCGGTGAAAGAAAACGCGAAATTTTATTTACCCTGAGGCAGGTACTGTTACAGTATCACGCTTGATTGGATTATGTGTATTCAAATCATTTTCATCAACTTTATCTCCAACTCCGGTTCCAAGTACCCAAAATTGGTATCCATGCTAAGTTTTTAGAAAAAAAAAGTTAATTTATAAATCATTTATGTCGATTAATTAATTTTACATACAATGTGAAACGGATGTTCGTCATCGTCATTATCTAAAAAAATATTTGTTAATAAAATCATAAAATTGAAAATTCTTATATACAATTGTTAATTAATTATACTTACTGACGAAATAAATATCAACTACTTCTCCATCTTTATCAAAAACATAGGCATTTGCACTAGTTTCGTTAATTGGTTTCCCTTTAAAGATTTTATCTAAACTCGGAAAATTTATATCGGGTATATAAGAAGATTCATTAAGGAAAGCTTTAACAACTCCTGTTGTATTCTTATGAAAAGCAATTGTGAGTTCCAATTTTTTCGTTGATTCGGGAATCTTTTCTTCTTTAAGTGGTTGTAAAGTCTTGTGATCTAGATCAACGCATTCTGTCAAGGAATCAGACCATGGATTGTCTTTTGGTTCAGGACCATCGGGGGCTCCTTCATAATGTACTATAGCTTTAATAGTAGGAAGACTAGCATCTGGCATGCATTTCTTTTGAAATTCAGAACGCATTATATAATTATCGACCGGTTGGTTTGCAGTAACAATAACAGAATATCTTTGGGCGACATTGATGGGAAGAATATGGATCTTATTTCGCTTAGTATATCCACCGTCTGCTTCTATAACTTCCATTTCATGTTTATCAATAGAAAAGAAGAATGACGAAAATGCGCTAGAAGAATAAAAACATTCGTCACTTTTAATTTTTTTTGAATTGCATAATACGATGATGTAGATTACTGTACCTAGTATTAATGATACGAAGGCGATATTTTTTATTTTGAACAAATTCAAATTTAGCAAGACCGGCATTGTCCACACATTTAGAACCCGGTGGGGCCTTGGAGCAATCGAAATTATTTTTTCCATTGATCAAACCGTTATCGGGAACTGTAGGTGTAGGAATCGTTCTAATTAGCATCACGCGGTCATACCTTTGTACTTATATCAATCTTTCTTACCTGGCTATTATTATATAATGAGAATGAATTAATATGAATTTAAGAATTTCGAATTAAGCTTCAAAACGTTAAATTTACCTCTACTCCTTTACTTTCAGGAGTTAAGAATTGTTTTAATAAAACTTGTGCATTGGTATGATGATAATCATTCAACATGACAATAATTTCCTCATCATATTCCGCTTTATACGGATCATCAGGATCGTGAATAACTAATAAATTAAATAGAGAAGTCATAAAGAATTAAAAAAAAAAAGTCGATTTAAATTAAATAATTAAATAACTTACTTAACGCGCCAAAAGCTCCATCAACATATTGCATCGTTTCATGCGCATGACTAAAGAAATATTATATATGGACAGTGAGTACATAGGAGTTCAAATGATTTTTTTTTGGTCTCATAAATACTCACTACCAATGAGTGCCAACTTCTTCGGGAACAGTGAAATTGTAGGTGAATTCGTAATCGTCTGGTATAACGCATTGAGCCTGATAGTACGTGTCAATCGACGATTGGTCAATATTGAAAGAATATAATTATACGAATCAGTTTTTTCCATAGACTCACCATCCATGGTACTCCATCGAACCTATATAATAGATTGTGAAATTAGTATGGTCTTTGTAAAAATTAATTCCGGTAAAAAAAAAGTCACATACCAAGGAGTCCCTCTTTGAAGCATCCCATGCGCATGAATAGCTAATATTTTCATTTTGCAATATGCGCTTAAAAACACGTACAACACATAAAACATAGGAAAATATTTGTTGTAAATTACCTGTTGGTTCTCCCAATTTATTATTAATATTCATCACAATACGATCTCCTTTGTTAACTTCTATGGTTGGTCCAGGATATTGTCCATTAACGGTTGATAATTGACGAGTAAACCCATCTGGAGCCAAAGTAACTTTTTCTATAGTGAAATCAAAAAAATTTGTTTTTGGTTCATACCCCCGGTTCAAAATTGGCGTGGGCGAGACCATTGCTGTCCAAAGAATAATATAAAAGAAAAAGATCCCACAAGAAGTCATTATTATATTATTATTATTATTACGTTAAATTAATTAGAATTAAGGATAACTTGGCAGTATTTTATATCTTTCATTACCATGTGTGCTATGAATGGCCTTATTATTTTTATTATTTGTCATTCATTTTATGATCGATGCTTCTTTCATAGTAACCCATTTAGTTCCGGTTACGATAAGTATAATTTATTTTATAATATTGAAATTAGCTATAAGGCGATTATTTATCATATGTTTTCTTGTGACAATTCTTTTTATGATTTCCGATTAATTACTTTAAATGACTTTTTTAGCGCAATTTAATTAAGTCACGCTAATATACATTACATAAGCATGCATTCTGATCTCAATGGAACCGATTCAAGCTTGAGGCCGAGAACAACAAAAATAAGACCGAATCTTTTCAAGATTTTCTTTATAGACGGCCAACCCGAGCTCTAATTTTAACAAAATGATAAGCAATTAGGTGACATTGAAAATTGCTTTGGAGCCTGATTGGTTTATATGTAAAAAATTGTTGAGAATCGATTTTACTATTTAGTTTCGATTTTTTTCAGAATCGATTCGCTAGAGTTGTGAAATTGGAAGATAAACAATTGCAAAAACGAATTAATAAAAAGTTTATTAACCGGCTTATATGTTACTGATAATACTGTTCAAACCGATAATTTCACCTGTGATCACGAAGAAGAAAACAAACGCCGGGTTATGAACCAACTTAACAGCATCTTAACAAAAAACTTTTGAAAAATTCACGCGAGATATGCAGGTGGCAGGTAATGTATTACACTTGAATCTTCTCGTACGTGATATGGTTAATGTACACCGATATTACCATTTACGATCTGTTGAGATTCCTGTACAATTTTCGATGAAGCTGTTGTAACTAAATTTATAGAAACTTTGTTACTTTTACGTAATATAGTAATCTCCACATCGCAAAGGCAAATGGAAGATAGTTCTACAGTTTCCACCCCACGAGACGATAACTAGACTTCGTTATATGTACTTTTTTTCTATCTTGTATTTTATATTTATCTCAATAAAGATGGCCCTGGAGGTCGATTTTTCATTATTTATCGGGCACATGATCAAGTGTCAAGTCTGCTGAAAAATTAAACCATATGCACGATGT